GTGTAATAACGGGCTCAATTGAATTAATCGGCTTGAAGACATTAATCAGACATTAATGAAGCGCTGACCTCTGCACTGCACTGCTGTTCACTCTGTCTGTCTGCCTGTTTCGGCCTGCTGCTCCTGTGTTATTGTTTTTGTCTGTCTTCGTTAATGAAAAGCTTCTCATCCTAGTTTTACTGACACTGGAGCTGCTGCAGGATTTTCTGCATGACCAAGCAAAGCCAACCGCTGCCTGGAAACAAAGGCTTCCAGCAGAACTGACCAAATACAAAAACGTGTGTTGGTCTGACTGGGAGACATGCTGCATGGGTGCAGTCTCTGAAGGTCAGCTCAGGGTCTGCTCTTTATTGAAGCACCAAACAGAATTAATGAGTGGACCTTGGGTTTGTTGGCCCCTTAAACACCAATTGGTCTGTTTGGTAAATGGTTCTGAATCACAAAATGGTCCATGCGTACAAGAAGGGAAACTAAACAGCTCTTACATTAGAGGTCTTGCTACATTTGCGTCAGCACTTTGGAGCCTCCACAGATGCCCAGTGTTTCAGACAGAAGGGACACGATGCTGAACACTGTAAGGTCAGATGTGTTTGATGCAGTGTTTCTCAAACTATGGTTCCCATGCCATTGGTGGCACTTGAGCTCCTTCTAGTTGGTCTATGGTGGTATCTGTTTACCATTAGGATTAGGTGAGTCACTGAGTTGTTAACTGTAACTGTACTTTATATTCTTACCTAATCACTCTCACTGTAGCTGTGGCTAACACTCTAGAGTCAATATGATCTTCTTGGTATATTGTTACGTGCTGGTGTTAGTCATACTAGTGGTGAATGGTACAGATTGAAAGGAAGAATGAGTAAAATGTATTAGAACCCATTCCTCAAATTCTTAGACTGGGGGCAGGAGGGCAGGACACAGACAAGATTAACTATTAGCATCCTTAAACAAGAAGGTTTTACTTAGTGGGTATACATTTGTTTTTCTAATAATACACAAAAACATTGAATTAGGTTTAGCTTATACATTAAATGTCACCTCAAGAACAAACATTGTTACCTAATTATTTGCATCTCATTCAGTCTTGTAAAAAATAATCACAGTTAGGTCCACACGTCCACCGTAGCGGAAAGCAAAAGAAACATTTGGGTGCAGGCAACTGCTTTGTTAATTAACAATCTACCTTTATGTCTTTAGTTTGGTAAAAAAAAAAAAGTTTTAAGAGTTTAACTCTTACTAATTTTAATACTCAAACATAATCAAGTCATTTTTAACTTCAAGTTCCTGATAATCCAGGTGTAGTTTTACCTTGACATGTTTGGACGTTGAGCTCCGGTCTTCTTTCAAGTGTCACTTGATTTTCCCATGATGCATCCTAATCAGCTGGTTTTATGAAGTGTGTGGTGTCGCCTTTATTAAAAAAAAAAAACACGTATGAATGATCAGAATTAAGACGACATGGAGCCAGTGGAACAAACATATCAGACATTCCTTCGGGGCTCGGTCTGCACCTGGGTTCAGTTTTGTATCTGAATCAAACAAGATATGTGTGATTGTGCAGCAAAAACATTTTACAGAAGAACTGAAAAGCCACTGTTTCAGCCACTAATTGATCCCCTTTTCTGCTGCAGCCCAAAGTAAAAGCTGAAATGCAATGTCATGTGGTCATAAAAGTATTTATTACACTTTTAAGCCCATGTTTCAGTGTCAAAAAACGTGTTATCAAAATCTAAGTGGTTTAAAATGACATGTTTTGGTGGAAGCAGAATAACCTCCCAAATCCACCAGTGAGTGATGATAATAATCACCTGTTGATGTGGACGTTTCACAATCAGGAGAAAAGCCACACGAATGTTGTTAGTGGTCAGGGTGTTTGATTGTCCATTGAGTGGTGCTCTTGATTAGTGAACAATGCCACAATAACTGTTATTACTGTCATTTTCTAAAGTCCACATAAGTAATTAAGGGGGAAGCGTCCATAATGGCTGCCAGAAAAGAGCAGAAATCAAGAAGGAGGTAAATTGCCCTACATCAGGCAAATGCAGCTTTTGTCTCTGTGCTGATGTAAAGACGGAGCGGAGCTGCTAATCATCTGCCGTCTTTCAGCTGATCCACTCCTGATAATCAGCCATTGTTACAGGAGATCGAGGGTCAACTCTCCCCCGCTTCAATCAGGCCTCGGAGATTCCTTCAAAACTGTGAATGTGCTCCATCAATTTGAGCTACAAGGGAAACAATTACATCGCAAAATAATTAGCAAGCGCCGCCATTAACCGTTGAACTTTCTGTCTAATTAAATCAACTTGTTCCCTCACAAAGGACTGAATTGAAACCAGCGTCTCATATTCGCGTTGTGTTATTACATGCACACTTCCCTCGGCTCTCACTCTGCTGCTTCTCCGCAGGAAACCAAAAAAAAAAAAAAAAAAAAAAATCCTCAATAACATGAACAGATCGCAAAGAACGTCTGGACTGAGAGAAACAGAAAAGGCTCATTTTAGGTCAATTTAAATATATTATGTATTATTGTACGTTTACTGTAGCTTGATTTTTGATTGACCGACTCAAAGTCACATTAGATAAAAGCATCTGCTTATTGTATTGTAATGTAATGTAATGAAAACTTCACCAGCTGTTAATAATAAAGTGCTTTGGCCTTGTGCACAGTTCGTCCAATCATCATGCACAAGCCCAGCTCCCACAGTGACGGCAATGTTACATGAACGTGACATTTGTTTGTGATGCATCAGTGTCCGGACCCTAAAGTGAAATACAGCTGCATGTCAGTGCTGGTCCACAGAAAAGAACTGTGAGTGAGCTTCAACAGGGTTTAATATGATATGTAACATTTTTATTATTTATTTTTTATTATTTATACATTTTACAATTATTTGTGTAACAAAATGCCATTTATACAAATGTAGAATACGTATTTTTATGAGCCTGACCTTTCCTTTCTGATATCAATCACGACTGTTGAAGACAACAATTTCTAAATTCTTACACCACTTGTAAAAAAAAAGCTTCACATCATAAAACTAATGCCCTGGGTGGGTAATTAAATGGGTTTTTTTAACACTGACCAGAATAGGTTGGTAATTTTATTAATGTTTTCAATTACCTCAGGCTAATATTATACTGTACTTATTCCTGACCATTGTTTTTCCCTAATGCCATTCCCTTTTGTTCACTATATTTATTTATAGATACTGTATTTATTTATATTTCTGTTGCCGAGTTTACAGTTACAGCTAAAATAAGCTAAATTAGCTCACAAACTAACTCACTAACTTACTAACTTAAGATGTTTTTAGAGCTTCTGCTACTGTATATTAACAAACATTTTTGGCTGAATTTGAGATATTTTTGTACTAAGTTTGCTCTCTTGGTGTAAATATGTGTTTGTGTTTGATTGTTTCCAAGTCATTGCTATAATTTGGAAACCCAGCTTTGAAACCACAGATACGATACACTTCAACAATACTAAAGTGCATGGCTAACATTTTTTTTATGACAAAACATCTACAGAAAACAAAATAAATTAGATTTAACTGTACCTCAGGTGGACGGCGGCAGACTCTGCAACAACAGCAAACAATAAAAGTGTGGATTTAGAGACTAAATACACAGCTGACTTACAGACAGGGTGGAGTGGACGGTGGACGGCACAGGTGGACGTCAGACACAGGTGGAGAGTGAGGACAGGAGGAGAAGGTGCTGACAAAATCACTGGGAACATGGCAGAGATAATGAAGAGATGAAACACAGGTGCAGGTGTTGAGTCAGAACCACAGGAGGAATTCAGCAGGTGTGTTTCATCTGTTCATCCTCTACAGCTGCACTCCAGCAGCAAAAGGCAAAAGGCAAATAGTCCCAGCTTCAAATGTTAGTTTTAAATGTTAGCTCACAGTCAAGCTGCTGTATATGACTTCACTGAATATAAAAGCTACCATTTTGAACCCCTTTTTTGGTACTGGACTGGTGGTGGTAAATTATGTATGAAAGTTGGGTCCAAACAAAAAAAAAAAAAAAAAGATTGGTGTTGATGAGTAAAAAGTCTTGTAATATATTCACAGCAACACTTGAAGCTGCAGGATCTCAGTAGAACCAGAGCAGCCCGGTCTTCTCCTCATCTGTGGTCCATGTTAATATGATTAGACTGGATTATGGTAATGTGCTGTGGGACCTGGTGGGTGTTGCTCTGCTGCTCTGGTTTCGGATAATGGTTAATTGGTGGAGCTGCTTTGATGAGAGATGGGGGGGTTGGTGGGAACGACTGGTAAGACCCCTCCCACCCCCCACCCCTGCAACTGAGCCCGATGATATTTGTGGCTGACGAGGGATCTGAGCTGCCAGAGAAACAAAAATCCAGCTGAAACCAATGGGATGAGTGTGTTAGGATGGCTGTGATCACACACTCCTCTGCTGCAGCCCAAAATGTTGCATCTGTGGTGTTTTTAAATTAGCAACTCGTTAGCACATCTGATGACAGCAGGACATGGACGGCAGCTTCCAGGACATCAGTCTTTCTTTGAGCAGATTGGTTTTTCTAAACATATTTATATTGTTTTCATAGAGTTTTTTGTAATTATTTTTTATGTAAATTTAACCTTAACAAATGATTTATCTAAATCTCTGTATCTGGGCTCCATGATGAAAGAGTCAGCCATACAATCTGAAGGTCATGGGTTCAATGGCTGGTGGTCTTTCTGTATGGAAATCTGAAAAAATAAACAGAAAAAATATTAATAAATGCAGGTGTGTTTCATCAGGTTTTTTTAATGACAGTCCAATGTTAGATTTTTTTTTTAAGTTACTGTATTTAAGATGGCATTTCAGTGGTTTTCATCAGTACTAGGAACTTCACCTTCTAATATGTCAAAAATACTAGAGTACTAAATCAAATATTGTATAGTTCAATATGAAATTACTTCTAAATCAAACCACAGCCATAAAATAAAATAAAACAAACGCAACCGCTGACAAAAACCAAAACCTCATAATTAAAAATTCTTGCAATTTTATTTGCATATAAAGGCAGCTAAATATATCACAATGAACTGAAAGAAGAACTAACATTTCAATGAAGAGGGATACAATCAGAGAAAGCGCGAGAGAGGAGCAGAGCACGAGAAGAGCATTTACAGCGGCAGAAGTTGAAACAACTATTGGCAACTTTTTTTTGTGCTAGCAAGATTGCATTTACACACAGTGCAAAATAAGAAGAAAAGAAAAGAGCAATAAAACACAAATACTATTAAATTTACACTTAATAGGACAACGTAATGTTTAGGCAGGCGTGTTGTTGGGAACAACCAGCACCTGTTGGATTGTGACTCTGACAAATTTTCCTCTCTCATCCAAAAACCAGTGGATACAAAAACATTTAAGAAACATCTGGAGAGCCGCTGGTGGCAAACGTCAATCATTCAGGTGCATTCAGCAAAATAATGCACCACAATTTTTGCATTTTTTTTTTTAAACCACTTTTAGTACAGATGTTTTACAACATGAATATATAATATAATATATATAATTTATACATACATTTTCCAAATTAGCTCAAAAATCATTGTTGGGACGTTAGAAAGTTAAATTTACTGAATGAGATTTTGATCGATTTTGGACGTCCTGTCAGGGGTTGCTTCAGGGATGATGGGTAATAAATAGACTTTTCTCTGAGCTTGCAGAGAGAGAGAGAGAAAGAGGGAGAGAGAGATAGAGGGAGAGAGAGAGAGGGAGGGGGGGCTAGCTGAGAACATTAAAGCTAGTTTAAGGCAGCGTCCCTGTCGGCCAATAAGACAGAAACAAAGAAATCAGATGATACAACATAAAACCATGGCATCCATTGTCCTGCTAATGCAAACCCAACATAAAGAAATTGTACAAATTCACAAAGCATTTTTTATCTTACAGATCTGACCAATATTTATCAAGAGCAAGATTGTTTAACCACAAAAAACCCCCAGAAAAGAAGAATATCGGTGTCAAACACAGCTTATTTTCACACCGTTCCCACTATATTTGTAGAGCAGTCACCGAAGAATTTCAACATTCAAACTTAAGAAAAAAATAAGTCAAATAACATGAGGAAAGCAGAGGCAGAGATCAAACGTTGTAATCATCACCACGACTCCTTCTGCTCTCAGGTGATGTAGATTATAGAGATTATGTCTGGGATGAGGTTTTGTCGTCCTGTTGTTGTAATTGCTGGTGGGTTTAGTTCTGGTTTGCACAACACTGGGGAAAAAAAGCAAAGCAAACAGGACCCAGTATTTGGAGCAACTGAACTGATTTGTGTGCAGAAATATAAACTCTATGAGGAAATCCTACAGTGTTGGCACAAACACCGATATTCTCCTTTCACCCTCCCTGACCCCCCGATCCCCAACACAACGCACCATTTTCAAATCTTCTCACTGTCGACAACAGTGTGGAGAAGACCCAAAGTTTGCAAAGAAACACTTAAGATTTTTTTTCTTTTTTAAAACTTGACATATTTATAGAAAAAACTGGAGTTGATCCCGCCCCCTGGCATTGCCCGCCCACAAAAGTCCTAATCTGGTCTCAGGAGCTGGAGGGGTTGGGCAGGTCGAACACGATGGGGGGGTTGGTGGGCTGGAAGCTGACGGTGCAGGTGGACGCGTTGATGAACGTTGTGTATCCATCTGTCATGATGCCGTAGCCTGAAGACGGAGAAAACCAGAGTCAGCAACAAGCTCTGCTCACTGAGACCAAGTCAGCATCGACGTGATAGAGTGATGCATTTACAGCTGAGGTGTGTGTGTGTGTTTCTCTCTTATCCCTACATTGAGGCATAAACTGTGTCCATTTCACAACATTTATTTTATTGTCCAGGTTTGACTTTTAGTTTCTAACCAAGCAAAACACACAAATAAAATAAAATGTGATGTTTAGATAAAAGGACTCACCTATTTATTTACTTTATTTGCTTATTTATGGCCAACTCTCATTTCCAATGTTTTGGTAAGTGTCACTGGTCAATACAATTATTTTTGCCAATTTTGACTTTCTTAAATGGACAACATTGACACAAAGTTTAAACCAAATATAAAAATATTTGAAGGTTTCTTTTGGCTCAAACTAAAAATTCTGCTAGAGTTTCTGTGGAGATGTCTCCTCGTGCTGCTTCATATAAACACATCTTGTTCTCAGTACCTTCATGGATGCCTCCAAATGCATGAAGTTTAGGGCGGACCCTTTTCTGAACAGTGTTGAGCAGCTCCACACAGCCGACTCGTTGAAGCTCTTTAGGAACCCAGTCTCTAAAACCTGCAACAAGAGACACGTGGAGTTTGATGAGAGTCTTTGTTTCCTCTTTAACGGCGCTCCACTGTCCCTGACCCATCCAAACAAAGGAGTATGTAATAAAACAGAAAAGCATTGTGGGTATAAACAGGTTGATAATCTCACATAAGCTCATGTGAATAAGTGAAGGAGTCTAACTCTGCTCATTCATAATGGTTTCAATCCTAGTCTGGGGTTAGTGTGAGAAGAAAACCTCAAGTTTGTTTTTCATTTTTGTTCTTTTTCTCCATAGCTGGCTGTTAGATCGCTCTGTTTTTCTCTGTCTGCCTCTCCAATCATTAGCAGCTTCTGCCACTCTGCTGCAAAATCGAGTTTCCATGCAATCAAAGAGCCACGGCGGCGGCTGCTGCTGCAGCGACTGCACCAATTCTCCGTAGGCAGGAGGGAACTCAATAATAGCCAGATGGAGAGCAGCGAGGAAAAACAAAAACAAGAAACAGCTCAAACAGCTCCAAGGAAAACCGCATCAGCTCTTACTATAAAAATGAAATGAAACCAAACACAATGATTTTTTTTCCTTCACAGAGTCAAACAAATATTAAATCACAGAGCACGTTCCGGGTGTAGTGTTGAATCTGAACACAGATGCACAGACACATCTATCAGTTTGCTGTCATGCCCACAGGCCATTTCTTAGACACAGTGAATGAGGCACAACCTCATTAAATATGGCAATGATGAGAGCCGTGATTGGTTAATTGGACTCACCAAGCGGAGGTCCGTGGGTCATCAGTATGTCGATGCCTTCAGGGATCAGGTTCCATTTATCCAGCAGAGACTGACCTCGAGGCAGGTTGAATCCCCAGCCGTTGAACCACGGAGTCCTGCAGGGGAAGGAGAGAGGGGGGAGAGGAAGAGCGAGAGAGAGAGGGGGGAGAGAATGAGGCAGAGAAAGGAAGAGAGCACATTAGCATCACTCTGGAGACCAGACTCAAGTAAGATTTTGGCACACAGCAAAAATGATTTAAAGAATATCTTCAAATTATTCAATTCATGTTTTTTTTTTGCATGCAATTTTTAGCCTGCTGTAGAAAAAGTATCTTATTATGACGTAACATTGTTTAAACAGAACTGAAATTTTGACTGATGTGAATCAAGAAATCTATACAAGATTTGAAAAACACTCAACAAATGATGCATTAAATCAAAGGGTTAAACAATAAGAATAGTGTATTACAGCAGACAAGTTTTAAATTGTCGCCTGCAAATAAAAGCACATGCTTCACATGTGTTCTCCCCACTGCTTCACAGTTTCTTTATATATTTTGTTTCTTTTTGTCTGATTCAAAACATTACTGACACAACAGGCAAAAAATGGAGATTCATTGAAATTGAATAAACTAAAAAGAGACTTTTATTTTGCTTGATTAAAAAATGCTTGGCGAGCACCTTACTTCCTCTGCACCGTTATCTTAAATCAGAGTCGAAGAATTGAAGCACAAGCAGACTCAATATTGACTATGTCCATATTTATTACTCTGTAACGGTGCACTTGCAGATATACATTTTTGCAAAAATGCTTGGTCTTGCACACTGAGAGTTAAGAGTCGCTGCTCAGACTGTGGACCCATAAACAGTCGTATTATTGGAGGTGGTTTCTGAGAAAGTTGTCCTTTTTTCAGGCCTGTACGAGTACAGTACATGTGCCACCTTATATCCCCTCTGCAACACAGTTAATAAAAAGATTAACTGACAAGAGCGCTGACTTTAACCTCCACCAAGTGTGGGGGAGTCTGCAGCTCCTGGATGACAGTCTACAACACTCTCTCCACCTCAGACACAAAGAGAGCTCCGATCTGCCTGAGCGTGAATGAGGGATGGGTGGAGGAATGGATAGATGGCATTGAAAACAGATGAAGAAAAAAAGCAAACTGTGCAGAGGTTACATTTTGTGGCGAGGGCAGGGAAACAGAAGAAAAAGGATCGAGCCGAGGCCAGTTGATAAATTGAGCCTTCATTTATCACAATAGTGGTAATGGCAGAAGAAGGCTGACACCAGAGGAAAAGAAGATAGATTATCATCACCAAATAATGCAGTATCTAAACTGACCCACTGCTACACCCCCACAGAAAAGGTCCAGCAATTTTACTTTAAGGATTGGAAGAACAAAAATGCAGTGAGTAACTCACAAAAATCCCTTCTTTTTTTTCTTCTAAATACCCATGTCACTTTGGGACACACCATAGAGGTCATAGCGGCTTCCAGTTACTTAGTGATGGTGCTGGGGATGGTATTTGACCGAGGGGAAATCAGGGCTCCACAAACATCAATAGGCTTTGTTACAGTGAAGTATGAACGCTCCTGCACTGATCAATATTTGCTGCTCCCTGGGAGGGCTGAGTGCAGCTAACCAGAGGCAGGGCGGACTGAAGATGTGTAAAACATGAGATCACAATCCTCTCCGGGTCATTTTAAATTAACAAAACTAATCTCCTAACACTTTCCTTAAATTCTGCATCCCTGAAATGCACCAGCCTTCTCATCATTGTGTGGTCTTGAGCAACAAAGGCAACAACTGCAGGAATCCTAAAGGCTGCTCTCTTTGATTTGCTCGCTCAGTTGTGGCCTCATTCTCTCGCCCGGTGGAGAGCTGAGAGATGAGGTTGGAAATGAAATGTGAGGAGTGCACGGGGGGGTGGAGGCCACAGACCGAACTGATTAATTAGAACTAATCACACAAATCGGAGCTAATGGAAGCCTAATGGATTACTAGGATGACTCGCTAGCTCTCGAATGGCAAAAGCTCCGTTGACGGTGCTGCAGAGGAACTCATGAAAGTAGGGAGGGGCAGCTAGACTGGTCCGGGTGTTCGGACTGAGAGCAACACGGGCAAACTTTTCAAAATGGCTGAAAGCAATTAATCCCCTTTCAATTATAGAAAAAAAAGGTTTCCTGCTGTGAAAAAAAAAAATAAACAGCTGCCCCACTGATTATGCTCCATGTTTCACATGGTTTCTGCCGCATAACACATTCATCTGGGAGATGAAACATAAGCCCTGACAGGAACTGTGGATCCAGAGCCAACCACAAGGTCCTGACTGAATGCAGAGCTGGTGCTGCCGCTCGATGCCACAATGGCCCCATTGTCGGCTGCCTGCCTATGAAATATACCTTCCATGGAAGTGCATTTGTTAACCTCCGCCAAGATTAATGACCTCCCGGTCACATAAAGGAGAGATTGTTTCCTGTGTGGCTGTAACACAGGTTTTATTATACTGTGTGTGTGTGTTGGGGGTTGGGGGTTGGGTGGGGGAGGGGTAGCAGGTAGACCAGCCTTTGAATAGTGCTGAACAGAATATGCAGTGCCAACGTCTCAGTCTGCTCTCAGAGCGTATCTGGACCAACATGTCTCTCTCTGTGTGTGTGTGAACATTTGTGCAGTGATCAGACTTTACGCTACACTACGATCCTAGTCTATGCCCAATACTTGCCATCTGGAGCATGTCGCCACGGCAACAAAGGAGAAGCGTCTGGAGGCAGGCACAGCGGGAAGTAAAACACCAACGCAGAAAAATAAGAAGGTGACGATCAGAGGCGGCGAGAGAGAGAGAGAAAAAGAGAGAAAGAGAGAGCCAGGAAGGCATTAAACAGTGAGGAAAGATATGCAAAGGCAAGATAGAGACAAAGACGGACAGCAGGTGTCATCGTCTGCAGTGCAGTCTCGTACCCTAGATTGGAGAAAATGTTCCCGTCATTAAGGAAGCTAAGAGACAAGAAAATGTCCTGAAACAACCCTTGACTCAAAGTGTAAAACCATGACACAAAGAACCGAATGAATAACACTTGAAAAAGTACATCTTTGGTGGAAGAGAGTTGAAATCAGTGACTGCAGCTGAGCAGGACCTGACCGACGCCGTTCAGCTCTTCAATGCAAAACGTCAATATTCAATTAGACTGGTGGACATCATTTGTATGGCAGTGCAGTGTCTCTGTGGACGTTACACTGTTCTTAACCTCTGTGCTCCCCTGGGCAGTTCTCTATGGCTGTGCAGACAGACCCCGATGACCCACAGCAACACACACACACACACACACCCACACACACTAACTGCTTCTTTTTAGTCATTACGACTTCCACCATGACTCATGCTCCAGTTAATGGATCAGTTTAACCATCTTTACACCCTGGTGGATTAGCTGTTTAGGGCTAAGGCTTTTATGTGACAGTGAAGTACTGACAGGTCGATGTATTAATAACACAAATGACAACTTTGCAAGTAACATGAAAGAATGACTCTTTAGTGAGACCAGTGAAATGATCTATTTCTTCTAAATGGTTTATTATTCTACCATTATTAAACCAACTAAAAAAATACCAAATCCTTGTATGATTTAGAACCTGTGTACAGGCAAATTAAGCCAAACTGGAAAAAAATCATGCTGCCTTTTTTAACATTCTGCCACTTTTTAACTCCCATTTGCCTCATTAACAAGAACGTGTTGTTTGTCTTTCATGGACAACTCTGACTATGTCATCAACTCCTAAGACATTTTTGCCAAAAACAGAAAAAGTATAAAAAGCACTGATCCCCCAGAACGAACCTTTGAGCAATACATTGTTTTTGTTTTGGTTTGAGCTCTTTTGCCCTTGTTATGCTGTACAGTATATTCAGCTATTTAGCATGTGAAGGCTGTTTAATTATGCTAGAGGTCGACCTATATTATCGGGAGTTTAAATAGTCTCTTCTAGTTTGATCTTAATTACTTGTAATAGTGTCATCAGTGTACATTTATAAAAAGCTAATTCACATCATTAGCTCTGCAGATTCAGGCATACAGTACACTGTACCACTGAGCACACAGTACAAACTCATTCATCTGGGCTACTGTTGCTGTTCTATTGTCTTTTCACACAGGAACCCTCATGTTGTTTACTTGACACTTACGGCCACAGTCAAAAGTCCTGAGCCAAGCCACAAGTCTGAACTATCTACCAAATAAATCTACTTTTTCAAAATGATAATTACAAATAAGACTCCCATCCACAACAAGTAACCACTTCTGGCTGCTTCCTTCTTTTAATGGGTCACCACACCAGATTTAGCAGCCAAAAAACAATTCTCAGTTGGGTCTGGATTCCAGCCCTCTGGATGAAAGAACTCCCACAATTCAGATAAACATTATATTCATTATTAAAATTCAAACTACCTGAATTTCAGGTTTCAAAACCCAGGAGACTTTAAAAATGAGAACAGAAAGACTTTCTTTACTACATCTGAGGAGAACGTGATTTTGTTTTTGTTTTTAGAAAATATGACTTAGTTTAGATTAGATCCTGAAAAATGGTCTGAGGCTGTTTATAAAGTTCTAAATGAGGTAGAACAGGAAGGTTCTTACATTGCAAGGACTCAATAATCTCAATTTTCTTTGGCTATGCAAATAAACAGCACACAAACAGACCACAGAGATGCACACCCACAGAAAAACACAGCACACTATTTTCTCCTCCTCGTCTTAAGAGCAGAGATAACATCTGAATGAGTTTCGTGTAAAGCATGATCCTCCAACTTAGAGCTGGAGCAATGGTGCTACACCCTGGGATATCAGCTCAGCGCTGAATACGATAAAAGCAGCTGCGTGGTCACCAGCCCCGAGATAAAAGGAAAGAAAGGGGGCTGGGGGACGGAGAACGTTCGCAGGACCAGCGATCCATCGTGTCTGACCTCTGAGTCAGTGGCTCTGGGATCAGCAGAGGGAGGGGTCTAATTGATCAACCTGTCAGACCCAATGAGGAAGGCCATGTTAATGGGACTTTTATAAGCCCTGTGGGACATACCACCTGACACTCTGAGCTGTATAAGTATGTGCCAAAGCAGACTACAT